TCTCTCTCTCTTTCTCTCTCTCTCTCTCTCTCTCTCTCTCTCCCCCTCCCTCTCTCACTCTCCCTCTCTTTTTCTCTCTCTCTCTCTGTCTCTCTCTTTAAGGTCGAAATTGTCCAAAACAACGTCCCATTGTCGAATGGAAAAGTGGACGTTATGGACACATCATTATATCATAATATTTGAAGAAAAAAAGACGCATGGAGTAAATGAGAAGTTGTCTTTTGTTCAGGTAGTTTTCTTTCACAAGTGGCCGCTGGAGTAGGTACAACTTTATAAAAATAGTATCACTTTGAGTAACTACGGTAGCTTGTAAGTTTCTCCCTCTTTCACCGTTGAATGTTTCTTTTTTTCACAGCCTGTTCGATCACTGAAGGAACTGACCCAAGACGAACTCAAATCTTACTGGGTCAAGTCGGCACAGAAGTGGCTGTCTGGCTTAGAGGGGAAGCAGTCTACCCAGCTAGAGGTAATAACATTGTCTGTAAAAGTAAACTTTAGCCTTCCATTCGGAATTTATTTAATCTATTAGGCGCATACGTTGAGTCCACAGTGAGGCCAGCAACTTGAGAATTTCTGCGACGTCCTTATAAAAAAAATGTTTTAGTTTATCGGATGGTAAAGGACGACGAAATTTTTATTAGACTGTATTTGCTTAGTGTGGATATGTTCCTCATTCATGTTTTTAATTTTTTCGTGTGTTGTCTGTTTATTTTATTTAATTATTTCTCTTGTTTGTTTTTTGTGGGGGGGGTTTTGACAACCAGAACTGGCAAAGTAGGTGAATCGATCAATCATGACCAAAGCTAATTAGACTGAGAACATAATGTGCATCCCCCAATGGGCAAAATGTGATATGGAGATGGGTAATACGCATGACTGTTTTCCTTATCCCCTCCCCTCCACTCAAACTTCCACCTCCTCCCCTTTCCCCATCCCATCGGACCTCTTTGACCCCTCCTCCTCCTCTCCCTCTCCTCTCCCCTCCCCCTATCCCCTCTTCTCCCCTCCCCCTATCCCCTCTTCTCCCTCCCTGATCCTCTCCATCCCATC